CAATAATAAGAAACAAAGTACTGCTACATACACCCAATCTAGATGAATCTCCAGAGAACTATGCTTAGTTAAAAAAAAAAAGTCAATCCCAATATATATAGTATGATTCCATTTATAACATTCTTAAGATCACAAAATTATAGAAAAGAGGAGATTGGTGGTTGCCAAGAAGTTAAGAAAAGGATGAGATTGGAAGGGAAGTGGTGTGACTCTAAAAGGGCAGCATGAGGGATCCTTATGGTGATGGAAATGCTCTGTATCTTGATCACATCAATATGAGTATGTAGTTGTGATATTACAGTATAGATTTGAAAAATGTTACCTTTGGTGGAAACTGGGTAAAGGTTACATAGGATCTCTTTATTTCTTAACTGCATGTGTTTCTACAATTCTCTTAAAAAGTTTTTTTTTAAAGAAATAATAGTAGTACATAGAAAATTTCAAAGTGCCAATTAGGAAGATCTAATTTGGTTATCATACTGATACACTGATACAGTATTCATTTATTTTGGGTGGGAGGCTTTTCAACTGTATTGCCTACTTTTAACCACAGTAAAAAACATAAAGTCCACTGTATTTTTCCCTACACTTTTGCTTCAGAGCCACATGAGAAACTCTAAAGAATTACCCAGGACACTAACATTCATGGATGGCTCCACCCTGGGCCAGATCCTAGAATGGTAATGAAACTGATTTCTCCAAGTACCAACATGGAACAATTTATTTTAATGGGCATCTCTAGAACTGCATGCATAGATTTTTGAGGCAATCTCTTCACCCAAATAACCATATTGTGACTGATAAGCAATGTCCATCATGAGCCTGGTGTAAAAGAGTGGTAATTTGGTGCCACAGATTTATCATCTCTGTTGGCTGGGAGATTTTTAAAAACCAATCTCACAAACTTCAAGAGACACTTTGTTAATAAAACCGTCTGTGCAAAGGTTCTTAGAAATCCATTCTTCTGTCACAGCTAATTATGTTATATTTTGCATATAGTAACTATTTTATAGAGTTCTTTTTTATTTTCCAGTCCAAGAAATTGTACATGTGACCAACACCAACAGAGAAAGTCACTAACTGAAATTCAAAATAACATCATTATGGAATAGGTAAGAAAGAGGAGAAACTAGGCAGGACTGAGAATCAAAATGGCAAAAAGAAAGTTTAAGACAATCATGGTTTAAAAAAAAAAAAGATGAAGGAAAGATATAAAGCAATCAGATAAATAAGTTATGACAGACTAAAAAATGACCCAGCATAAAGAGAGTTGGTGTCCCTAAAATGGATGGATATGGGGCGAGTGATGTGGAGTGGGAGCAGTCACGCTGGTCTCATCGCTCCACAGGAACTTACAATGGCAAAAACATTAGGTCAGTGTGATGTCTGTGTAGTTCTAAGGGGAAGAAAGTAGGACCTCAGATTTTAATACTCAGTCAAGTTGTCCTTCAAATATAAGAAGACAGAGGTAAATATCAGGCATAAATGAACTCACAGATTTTAAGTCCTACGAGCCATTTGTGAGAAAGCTGCTTTAAAAAAAAATGCAGCTAACCAAAAATGAATCAAAATATACTTGATTTAAAGAAAAGATTATTGTGAGTATTGAATCAGTTAAAATGTGGAACTGAGAAAAAACAAGTGTATGAATAATTTTTTAGGATAGAATGTAAATGTTAAACCTTGACACTAAACATGACATGCAAAATAAGAGACAAGGAAAAAAATGAATGCTAATTTCTGCAGCTTGCATATCATCAAATAATCAATACTATCTAAGATTGAAAAAAAATATAAAGATGGTTGCAGCTTTCTGATGTTTCCCTTTACTTTTTTTTAGAAAAACCCTAGAGAAATCTTTCAGGATATAAAATACTTTGTTGTAGAAAGGCTTATGAATATTTCACTTTAGGTTTCTTCATTGTGATAAAATCAAGTAAAATTAAATCCAAATATTTAACAAGTAGCAGCTATAGGATGGTTTTCTAACTAAACTATGTATCAGTTCTTACAGCTGTAATACACATGGGATGACTAGTAAGATGGTCACCATTTAATGTTAATAATGGTTTCTGGCTGGATGGTATGGATTTTTTTTTTCTTAGTGGCGGTGTTTCTCTACTGAGCTTGAATTCTCTGTAATGAGCATGTATCACTTTTATAAAATAAGTCTTAATTAGATCTATTAACAGGTTCCAAATTTTTAAAGATATACAAACAAGGGAATTTTGTACCTTAAACAGCAACTTTAAAATAGCTCTCATTGGCTTTGTGAAATGGAACAGTGATGGCAGGCAATAAAGCAGAACCAGAATACTACATTATGAGTATCATGCTTCACTAAATGAGGTTCTACGTTTTTTTTGATAACTAGTGAAGAAACACAAACTATGGACTAACAGTTACCAAAGGGAAAGGGACTGGGGAGGATGGGTGGGAAGGGAAGGATAAGAGGGAAAAAGGGAGCAGACATAATTTAGGGGCGGAGCATGGGGAAGACAAGTAGTGATTCTACAGCATCTTATTACGCTGATGGACAGTGACTGTAATGGGGTATGTGGTGGGGGGGGGCTTGATGATGGGATGATGGGAAAAGCCTAGTAAACATAATGTTACTCATGTAATTGTAGATTAATGATACCAAAATAAATTTTAAAAAAACTTTCTTGCAAAAACCTGGACTAGAAAGATATTAAAAACACAGTATGTTTATTTAAATTATTACTTTTCATAACTTATTGAATCTTATCACAAGTCAAAATCTTCATTCTATTAACTTATGGGGTACATTCATTAGTGTTACATAAAACTTCACATAAAATTAAGAATTAAAAGTTCAGGTAAGAACATAGTCATGATCTGTGTGAGAGGATTCACCATTATGCACCCTAGCCCCTTATGTGGTTATTTTTTCTGTTTCATGGGCCTCTGAACCTTAGACTTATTTTCGTGTTAGAGAAAATAGAGCTGCTCCTCTGAGCTCTGCCCCACTGAGTGCCCCTCCCCACACTAGCGCTTTGTGCTCACCCAGTGGTACCTGTCCCCCCTGCGTATGGTAGCAGTCCTGTGACCTTTAGGGTTCTTATGCAATGCATGATAAGCATTTCCTAGGAGGCTCATATGGCCAACGGCTGTCATATTCATTTTGCGGGGAATTTGGAACCAAGATTGAAAGGGCTGTTGCAAGTTTTCAACCTGTAAACAAAAAAAAGGTAGAAAAGGGGATGTGAAGATCTTTTGTAAACTAGTAAGCTAGCTCTAAGGACTAAATACAAACCCATAACTCAGAAGCTAAGCCTTTCAAAAGCATAGGAAGTACAAATGAATAGAAATCAAAGTTAACATCTTTGGAAAATTGGCTAGCATTTGGGGAAGTATTAAGTAAGCCATGTTGCATCTTTTAGCAAAATTAATTCTTTGATTCAACTAAACTACTTTAAAGCACAGTTACCCCAGTTTGTATGTATTGCTGGGTTCTCCCCAGTCCCACCTCAATGCCTGCCAACCCCACACTGTCTTGTCATGATCTCTAAGGCTGAGGTCTAGAAATACTCATTTTAAACATTCCAGATGACTAATGGAGGTGTTTTGCTGGCCACGCTCCAGAAGGACATTGCTCTAAAAGAGCTGACTGTAGATTTGATCCATAGATGCAAGATTTTTCTAAACTAAGAATACAATTAAGGGCAAATATTTCACTGCACAATTTTAAACTTTAATACATATAGGATTTTATATAAACTATACATGCAGTTTAAAAAACTAAACAAGCTAGAGATAAAGAAATATTTGCCAATAATATAACAAGGGGTTAAAATATTCCTAATATTTGAAGAGTCTATAATAAATAATACATTAGGACCTCAAATGATAAATGTGAGAAGAGAAAATTCATGAGAAAGTACCCAAAACATTTGGGCACATGGAGATTTTTGTTTAATGTCTACTTAAATTACTATCCATAAGATAGGATTTTTAGCAAATTATTTTTAAGTGAGAATATTTTAGGAAAAGTGATAAAACAGTTTCACATACAGCTGGTCAGACTACAGATAAACACAACTTTCTGGGATGTACTTTGGTCATGTATTAAGAACAGTAGGGTGTCCATACCCAATGGCCCCGTAATTTCATATCTGAGACCCAAATCTCCAGAAATAACTTAAATTCAGACATTATTATAAAAGTTATTAGCCTTTTTATATCACAACAGTGTGTAAACAATCTAGATGACTATCAATAATAGATTAGCTTAGTAAATTGCCATCAAAGCAAATGAACACTAAAATGTTAAGTATTTAAATTGTTTTAACATGTTAATACGTAAGTGATTAAAGCAAACAAGTATATACATGTTATGGGTTGCCACTGTTAGTGGGTCATGAAACCAAGTTAATTTAACAGAAGTGTCAGGGGCATTGTATCAAGTAGGGTAAGTTTCATGAAACCTATTTCCAATATATAGATATGCATATCTTTCTAAGAGTTGTTTAAAAAACTTTTTTTTTTTTTGAAGAAAAATTCTCTGGTGATGGGATTACAGACCTTTGACCATTAAAACTCCAAATTTTCTACAAGTAGTATGACATTTTCTGTTGGTAAAAAAGCCCACTAATTTTAATATTTAATTCTGACAGAATATAAGTGAAAGGAAACATATATGTTTAAATATTAGATGGAAAAATGGGACTACAGAGACTGGGTAGATCCAGAGCACCCAGCCCAGTAAACAGGAACAGTTTCCAGAATGTTAATACTGTGATTTTAATCTTCACAGTTTGTTTCCATGTTTCTACTTGTTTGTTTCTTTGCTTTTGCAGTACATACAGTCTTTTCAGACTAGGAAAAAATAAAGTGCATAGAAGAACTGGGATACGCTTTACCTGGTAAACACTCTTTGGGTTGCTGACTTTGGGAATCATCCGAGGCTCTTTGTCACAGCTTTCCTCATCCGAGGGAGCACCGGTGGAGCTGCCCGAGGCAGCTCTGCTGACGGCACAGCCGATCTGCTGGGAGAGTTCCCTTTCCTCACATCTGCCTTTAAAAGAAGCTATTGTAAATGGTTGATTTTTCTCACCATACCTAAAGCAGAAAAAGAAAAAGTATTCATTAGGGATTCTACTTTTCTCAAGTTTTGTCTCTAATCTTTTCTGGAGAAACTCACTAATTTATAAAAAATTATTTTAAAAAACCGAAATGGCTTGACAGCAAAGCAAACTGAGAGACTTCATGACCTTCACCTACCACAGTCATAGTTAGTGGGTATGCTGTAATAGTTACCTTGATTAACTACTCAGAAAAAGAGAAAGATTCGTTTTTTTGATTCAACTAGTGGACTGAATTACCTGATGGTTGTTAGCTCCTTTTCCCCGTAACATTGCCTATAACACTTAGATGTTGTATACTTGTGGGGAAAATGGAAGTTTTTCTGGCCAGGATCCTCCCTTGACCCTGAACTACTTGATGATGTAATTGGTCTGCGGCTAGGCTGCTGCTTCCACACCTGTAGGCAATAAGCTGTTATTGACTGAGTTACTATACAAAGAGCTCTGCCCGGTGTTCTGGGCAGAGGCAGAGGCAGAGGCAGGTGGATTATGGACCTGCAGACTGCTGGATGCAGACGTGATTCTAGTGCTCCACCTATGACCAGGAGAATAAAGCTGGATATAAAACCTTTTACCCTAAGAACATTCTATTGTCATTTCTTGGTCACCAAAACCACAGTGAACTTGCCCAGGGCTGAAACTCTCAGGGGAAACAGTACCACAGATGGCAATAGTGTGGAGTGATTAAAGTCAAGTTTCAAATACTAAGCAAAATCTTTGTGCTTCCCACTCCAACCACTCCTAATGGAAGTCTGTGTTGTCTAACAAAGTTTCCATCTAAAATCCTGACCAGTGCCCTCAGTGCTAACACAGGGCTTTGGAGCGTTGTCTTTCACAGAGGTGTATGTGTCGGACTGAACAACTTCAGGTTTCCAGGGATCACAGAGCACACAAACTAACTCCAATGAGATCACTCACCTACAGCACACTTCAAAGGGATCCACCCATATGGTCATCTCCTTTGGAAGTCCCAGGTGAGAAAAATCCACATTACTTTCAGCACAAGCCCTTTCTAGAATGGGATCTTTATTCTGATTATTGTTTATCCTGATACACCTTAAAAAACAAGAAAAGGAAAACAATGATATGACAACAGGGGCTTAGTATGAGAATCATGTTGTAGGCAAACTGCTCCAATAAACACAGCTCCCACCTCACCCCTCCTTTCCCGGACCCCTCCCAACCCTACAGTTTTACAAGAGTAAAACATCGACTTTTTACACAGTGACTCAGCATGTGGGTTGCATCACTAAGTCACACAATTCACTGAATGCTCACTGCCTATCATTCATGGTAAACTCAAATTAGGAATTGTTTAATACACCTCACATAAGGGGATTTGATCCAGAGTTTTCAACTACACTGTCACTTACTGCACTTCTTTCTTCAAGCTCACATTCCAACAAATAAATGTGAGCCCATAAAATTTTTGTTACTTACAGACCACCAGCAGAATCATCGCCGGTGGTTACAGCTTTCTTGTTAGCCCCTTTGCTATACCAAACACTAGCTCTCACCTGAAGGCTTGCCCTTTAGAAGGGCAGTCAGAGTGCCAGTGGCTTCTGTACGTTTCAAACAAGATTGTCATCAGCTTTTCTGCAAAGTCTTCTATTTGCTGTTTACTAAGTTTATCATGTTTTTTCACCAATCTTGTGACAAAGAAAACAGTTGTTGCAATTTCATCTCTCATGATTCAAGAAAAACCTATGAGGTCTGCAACCATTAGAAGAAAGTTAAAAGAAATTAAATAGAAACATGACTCTAACTTATTATTAATACATAATTGCCATTTGGAAATTTTATATACCTTAAGTTTAAAACATAAATCATTTGCCAGTCCTTAATGAACTAAATAAGCACATCAGTACTATTGCTCAACAAAGAGCCAAACACACCAATTCCTCAACTAGCCAGTTTTTAACAATTTTCAAAGAAAAAAACCCATCTTTTTAAAACTTTAATACACTTAGGAAAGAAATGAAACACAATCATGCAACTTAAATTTAAAAAGCCCTGATATGGGATAGTAAACTATACCAAGAACTACTTTTTTAAGAACATTTTACAGAGAACAAAAACATTTCAGGATACAGTGGTTCTAAAATGTGGCTCTCAGGTTGCACCCTTTAAGTAAAAGTTAAGGTTAACTAAGACATATATTATACTTGCCAGCAAAAGCTCTTTAGCCACCACAGAAAGTGGGCCAGAGTTAGAAGACACTATCCCCCACACCTGTTTTGTCAGTTTAAGGCTGAAGCTTATATAATCTTGGGACGCCCCCCCACCCCAAGCCTGAGAGGCTTTTAGCCTCACACAGGTGCTGTCCTTAGAATAATCAGGCAGCTTTTCCCAGTTCCCTCATCAGATTACTCCTTGGCATGGAGGTAAAGTGAATTCTTTATTTAAACTGGTTAAAGATTTTCAAACTGGATTTGTATCTTCTTTTTTGCTACTAGAGTCATATCTTTTATGACAGATTGAGAATCAAGTCTTCTCCTTCCATATCCTAATAATCTAGATTCCAATAATTTTATCTCTAACTCTGTCAAAGTATTAAAAGAGTTTGTATTGGATCTTTTATAAAAAGACAACTTTCTTTGAGCAATCATTATGTTGACTACAAACATTTTCACTAAAATGTTTATTTGTAAAATAAGTGGAAGCGATCTCAGAGTTAATCTAGTCTCACTGGTTCTCAAACTGTAGGTCACTTAATGATCACATTTGGAATCACTGGGTTGCTTGTTAAAAATGAAGATTCTTGGACTTCATCCCAGATCTACTGAATCAATGCTTCTAAATTTAAGGTATTGGAATCAGTATTTAACAAGGGTCCCCAGGTGATTCTTTCACCCACTAAAGTTTTAAGAACCCCACACCTGACATATCAGTCTTTAAACCCATGGTAAGTGGTCATTTGGGTTCTTTGTAGTGAAACAAATTCATTCTGTTACAAGAAAGCCCATTTCATTTCTAAAAAGCTCCAAATACCAGACAGTCCTTCCTGCCTATGAAGAGCCAAATCTACCTCTGTAATTCTCTATGCATCCAGCCTAGTTTTTCCCACTGGAACTATACAAATTGTATCTAACCCTCCATGACACTCCAAACAATAGCTATTTTTCGAGTCTTCTCTTTTGGGAACTAGTCACAGCTTTTTAACAGGTGTTCTATAGACTAGTTACTGGGACACTTCACAATGCCCAGCTCTCATCTTTCGAAGTATGGAGCCCAGAATCACACTCAATGCTCCAGGTGGGCTCTGCCATTACAGAACAGAGTGGGGCTGTCACCTCCCTTGCTTTAAATAGTGTATGTCTAGAATGCAACCTCAGGGGGCAGTCTTTATCACACCACTGCCTCTCACTGAGCTTCTATGTAGTCTTTCTCACTAATACTCCTGTTCTGTCACATCTTTCCCTTCCACACAGTATAATGTTTAAGAATATGGGCTTTGGCATTAGACAGACCTGAATGTGAATTACAACTTTACCACTCACTATTTGTGTAACCTAGAGCAGTTTGCTTAAGCTCTTAAACTGTTTCCTGTCTGTGAAATGGAAGGGGCAATAGCAATCTGCCAGGGTTGTTATCAAGATTACAATCACAATGTATTAAAGCACCTGTTCTACAGTGTGCCTAGCAGTTGTTACAGGAAGGCAATATAGCAGAGAAGTTAAGAATTATCAGCTATAAAATCAAGCATCTGGCATTGATTCCCAATCCTTAGCTTACAAGAAACTTGAGGAGGTTTCTCAACCTCTCTAATCTTCAAAACATTATCTGTAAGAAGGGATAAGAATCAGACTCTCTGATTTGGATCCTAGCTATTGTGTGACCTTAGCAAGTTATTTAACTTCTCTGTGCCTCAATTTCCTCACTGTGGATGAAATGAAAGTTCCTGTGGCCAGGATTCTCACCTGGCCCTGGTCAGCTTGCTCACTGCACACGTGTGGGCAATATGTTGTTATTGACTCTATATAAAGAGCTCCTCCCAGGCCTCTGGGCCACACGGTGGCATGGCTGCAAGGCTGCAAGAGAGAAGAGGCTGGAGTGGTGACAGTGCCAGGGACAGAGGCTCAGAGGACTGCTGTGAGGACAGAGAGGCCCAGAGGCAGAGACTGGCTTGCTGCATGCAGACTCGCTCTGAGTGGATGGGATTCTAGTGACTGACCTGCCACCATAGAAATAAAGTTGGGTATAACCTTTCACCCCAAGAACGTTTTACTGTCATTTCTTTGGTCACATTGAATCCATAACAAACTTGCCCAGGGCCGAGTAGGGTTTACAAGTTTTAAGTGTAAAATGCCTAGAACAGTCCCTGGTACTAAGTAAATACTCCATAAATGTTAGATATTATTACCACTACTACTGGTACAATTACCATACTACTATTATTGTCCCATGAGGTTCTTGTCAAGGTTAAATTATAAAATTACATGAAGCATTTAGCAGATTGCCTGGTATACAGTGAGAGCTCAAAAAGTGTTAGTCTTTCTTATTAATAAACATGTTTATATTTATCATTTTATTATAAATCTTTCCTAGCATTTTGTGACTTAAGTGGCATATAAAACAACTATATATTACAGCTATACCTATCATATTTCATTACATTAAATTTAGGGAACTGAGATTATTTGTGATCCCAATTTTGTCATCCAATAAATTCTCTTACCTTTTTGGCTGCCTGTTATTCTGTAAATTTGACAAGAATATGTCCTCCTGTTACAAGTAATGAATAAACAAGTTGAACAGGATAAAGACAAAATCCTGATGACACTAGAACACATTGAAATATATTCTAGGGGGATCTTCAAGGATATATTTTTTAAATGTTATTCTGTAGCCTGTTTATGGTAATATTAGTATTACTATTTTGAAACTATTATACACATACACACACAGAATTAGAATAAGGTAATACAAATATTTAATGTTATAAACTGAGATTTTCAAAGTAAGGAAAAAGGGGTAAATGTAAAATAAAAAAAATTAAGTATAAATCCTGTAATGGTAAATTTGTAATGGCAATATTAATATGAACTTGAGATTTTTTCTCTTTAAAAATATGTATAAGTACACTTATTGTGAGCATTTTGTAATGTGTATAATTGCCGAATCACCATGTTGTTCACCTGAAACCAATATAATATTGCATATCAACTATATATCAGTTTTTTAAAGGTTTTAGTTCTGTCCATTGAAAAAACTTAGAACCGACAAACAATCCTAAAACTCATTTTGCGATCTCTAAATACCATTTCTCAATTTAAAATGATTTCTTGGAGAAATGGCTGATTCCAGTTCTAGTTCAGTTAATGTATTAGATGAGCCTGGGATGTATCATACCAGAAGCACAGAAGCTATACAAAACCAAAGGGTCCTGTCAAAAGACCTAAGAGCTTACACAAAGAGCTCCCATTGGCCAATGGTAAGCCATCTTGAACACTGAGGTCCTTCCACCAGTTCCCCTCTTCTAGGTCAGCACCACCATCCCCAGCTGCTGGAATCATCCAGTACTGAAGGCTCATAGCCGCATTTCTCATTGGGAATTGCTCTCAGAAATGACCTCATGGTAAAGGAGTAGCCTGCGGCCATTGAGTGGCTAACTTGGGGATGCAAAAACCAGGCCCCCTTGCCTCAATTCGAAACAACTCTGAAGGGCCATCCCATCTGTGGAGCTCCCCATAAGAGAGGCTGAGGCCTCCAGTGCCCCCACATCCCCTCGTCTACCCCTCCCTCTGACCAGTCCTGTCTCACTCCCTTATGGGTATATCCCTCAAGAGGACTCCCCAGTAAACCGCAGTCCCCATCTCAGAGTCTGTTTCTGAGGAATCCAATATAAGACAGTTTGTACCAGGAATGTTTTAAGGAAGCAGACTCTAAAATGGGATTTTGGAGATGGATTAGTCACCTGCTGGATGGCATACAGACTTCATTGCTTGTAATAGAAGAATATGAATGCGATGGCTGCTGCCGTGCTGGAGTGGTACATCTGGGAAAACCTTCACCATGAAGGAACTGAGATGAAATCAAATATTGGAAGTTACACTGGCTAGTGTAATATCTTTGATGCTTAAGGGGTATGAGAAATGACAGCATAAGGACTATGGAAACAGAGGGTTGAGCACCATGATATCCAGTAATAACAGGATTTAATAAGGTTCATTCAATTCAATTCAGTAAATAGTTAATTATCTACTATATTCTCAGAACATACAAAATAAATAAAGGTGCAACTAGGGCCTTAATGATCTTCCACTTTCACAGAATCTTATTTATTTCAGCTTTACATGATATATTTCTCATTACCCTTATTTAACTGCAGGGATTCCCAAACTGCTGCACTTTGGGGTCATCTGAGTATCTCTTACAAGTACAGATGTCTTACTCCTACCCCCAGACATTCCGATTTAATTGGGATGGAATGCACCCTGGGCATCTGAATTTTTTAAATCTCCCCAAGTGATTCTAACATGCAGTGAAGGTAGAAAACAAATATTAAGATAGATATCTCCTAGCTATACTATAAGGAAGATTTTACATTTATTTTACAATCTTTATTGCTTAGTAGTATCTTATTATGAAAAATTTGTATCACTCTCATCTTTTGTAGCCTTTGCTGGGATAACTTTTGCAAAGATTATTGTTGTAATTTGTGTTAGAAGTAACAAAATTGAAAATCAGGGAATCCACTTGCATATTGTTGAAATAAAATTTACTTATAACTACAGTAACATATACATTAGCACATACTCAAATTTTTCCTTTTCAAATGGTCAGTGTTTGCATTTGCAATATTAAAATGGTGCCAGGTGCTTAATAATTCTTTTATTATTTCACCTTTCCAGATGACATACTGTTATACTGCACTTTGAGTTGGTGAAACACATTAGCTGATGAGACTTTGAACTCTCTCCTTGCACTATTTTCTGCAACATGTCCAGGCAGGCCTTGGATGTTATGAATAGAACAGTAGAATAACAATGTACTTAGATTTCAGGAAAGAATAATCAAATAGAAACTAAACATCACACAAGACTTCCTTCAGTTACTGGTTTATGGTAATTGTAAACAACTTATTTAAGTCACCTCCTACACATTAATTACAACTATACCTTCTGTTTAATTAACATTCACTCAGTGACTGCTTACTCACCTACCACATATTAGACACTGCCAAGTGCCATGATGTTAAAAAAAAACCTTTCTTTTCAAGAGGTTTATAATCTAGAGAAGGAAATCAGTTATGTACACAAGTTACTATTTGGATGCAGAGTTTGAGAAATAGGATACTCAAAACACTGCAAGTTTCATGCATTAGTAACCAAGACAATATTTCTTAAGTTCTTAAGTTCTTAAGAAATTTCTTAAGTTCTTAAGAAAAGCCAGTATAAAAAGAACAGTAGTTCGCTCTGATTGAGGTATACTGAGTTTTCAATGGCAATTAAACACTGAGGTGGTAATGCTCATTGAAAGGATATTAGAATCTAGCAGATTTAGTCTGGGCCAGCCTCATATATAAATAGAATAGAAAATGATGCTGAAATTTGAAGGAAAAAAACAACTCTTTCATTGTTTTACGTAATGTCTAAAATACCCATTATAAGACATTTATTCTCTTAAGGCATTGTCTTTCCAGGATTTCCTTTTGAAAATGTCAAATAAGTGACAGATGGTAACTACACTTATGGTGAACATTTCATAATGTTTATAATTGCTGAATCACTATGTTGTACACCTGAAACTAATATAATATTTTGTACCAATTGAGCTTTAGTAAAATAAAAAAGGAAAATGTCAGATGACTTATCTTTTGTAGAACAAAAGAATGATGTTTTGTCTGGAGACATTTGGAAGAAGGGAGGAAGCCTGGAGGAGGTATCACAGAAAATAGGGGAAACAAGACTGGGCTTTGGGAATGAGGACGAAGAACAGAGAACTAAGGGGGAGCACCAGACATATCTTACCTTCTTATTAAGCCCATAACAGAGAATCAAATGGTTTAAAATATGAAAATAACCAAAATGACCTTTTACAACTAACAGTTTCCAGAATTGCTTTTTTTCACTTTAATATGAGGGAATCCAACTTGATCACTAAAGTATCTTCAAGCCCTAAGGTTCATCAGTAGGTAAATTTTGAAAGTCTGATTCTACATTTGTCTTCTTGATTTTAGAAGAAAATGAAAATATTATATAAAGTTGGCAACCAAGAAGCCCACTACAGATAATTCAAGGTGTAAATATATATATATATATACATACAGTATTTTGTACTAATATAATAAATGTGTTATATATACTAGCATTCTCTTATAATAAAATGCTGATTTCAAAGATGCAATTAGAGTGTTAGGGAATAATACTCTCTTACTAATTAAAGATATTAATTATAGAGTGAATATATTTAATGCAAAAAGAGTTAAAGGGAAAAAGCAAGATGAGCTAAAGTCACCAAGGAAAATTTTACCCAGAAAATAGGATTTGAACTTCAGGTTTAAACAAGCCATAGATGAGTTAAGAATGGGAGCAGCAATATGAACTTTTTTAAAAGTAAGCATAATGCAGTCCTTGAGATATATTCCATGGGTATAGAGGAAATAAAGGTAACAAATGAGAGTTACATAATTATTTTTAAACTAAATAATATAAATCCCACCTAGAATATGATATTAGAAAATCCACCTAGGCTTAAGTGCCAAATGGGAAGAGTAGAAATAAAAACAAGAATAAGTAAACATAGATACTCTCAGTGTATCCAAATTCCCATTTGGTTCCAAGCCTTCTTCTTTCCTCATTCTATTCTTGTTCAAGAAAAACCCCATTTCAGTTAGTCACCTACTCTGTCCTGGGGGAACTATAGCAGGTGCTGGAGGGCCAATGAAAAATAAGACAGTGTACCTCTCTTGAAGATCTCTCTTGTCCTTGTGATTTTTACTACTACATCTTTAAAAACTACTAAATCTCTCTTTTCAGTTCTGACCTCTTTCCAGTGTTCCAGCTCTATATATCAACTCCACCACAATGTTCTTCCACTGCCTAAAACCAAACGTGGATAAACCCAAACATACCATCATTATCCTCTGGTTAGATGTGCCTCTATTTGTCATTGTAACCTGAAAGTTAATCTTGTTCTCTTCACTTGAACTAGTCACCAAGTCCTGTGAAGTTTCCTTTGAAATCTCTCTTGATCATACCATCTTGTCTATATCACTTCATACCTAGGCTATTAAAACAATCTCTTAAATGTTCTTGCAGTCTCCTCTGTTTTTTCCTCTTTTAGTCTATCCTACATAAAACAACACATCATATAAATCATAGGCCCTTCAGTCAGAATAATGAGGCAACAACTCCCTGCCCTCTCCAGTCCTCTCTGATTTGTCCCCCACTTACCTGTCCCTCTAATCTTTATTTCCCCAAGAGGGACACACTCTCCCAGTGACACTGTCTATTACAGTCTCCATGGATTTGCTTGCATTTTTCTTTCACAAGTTGCTCCTCCTGCCAAGAACACCCACTCTCTATCTTCACTCTTTATCTATGTCCTAATTTTCTTTCTAGACTCACTTTGATCCCATAGTTTCCATATAGCCTTCTCTGTGTCCCAACCTTTGATGATTTTCCTTTTCTTTTTCCTTAATGCTGGTAATAATGAAACTTACATTAGCATTCAGTCTTGAAGCATCTATTAACCTAACCATGTTAGTACTTATATAATTAACATAATAAATATTAAATTATGTGTAAATTATATTTTATACATTAGTATGCTATAATGTAACCAATATGCTATAACTATATTATCTGTGTATACAAATTATCTCTGTCCAACTAGACCATAAACCCATAGACTGTGTTCTCTAAAGATGGTGAATATGTGACATTTGCTCCTATTCCTGAAGCCACAGCAAGAGCTCAAGAAACTTTAATTATAAAGCCTATTTTTTTTCAGTGTTACTGATTTACTAAAAGACAAATTTAATATTTTCATATTGAAAGCAACCAGTTTTGATTAATCAATAAATATAAGTAAGAAGCTAATTAAGAATCTGGTGCACTCTTGCCAACAAGAGTATAATGAAGGAATCAAAAATATAAAATTATAAAAACTGCTGGCAGTTCATCTTAGCTAGAAAGAAAATCTCTTCTTATAATTAAACAGATCCATTGATTTTTAGTTCTTCATAGGTAGTGGACTGACCTCAATCTAGTCTTGCTTCAACGTATAAACTAGTTCAGGATCATGAATGTTAATAAGGTAATCTAACATTTACTGATCTATATAGAAATCAAAACATGGCTTTGTATTTCCTATGAGGAAATGTGCATTTTAAAAAAGGTTAACTCCAATAATTTCCAATAACTCTGATTCTTCACTTCTTCCTTTCTATCAAAAGATATGGAAAATAAGTGGTGGAGACTTGATAATGGGGGGGAATCTAGTAACCACAATGTTGCTCATGTGCTTTTATATTAATGATACAAAAAAAAAGTACATTGAGGTACCACTACATACTACTAGAATGGCTAAATTCAAAATAACTAACAATACCATGTATAGGTTAGAATATGGAGCAACTGGAACTCTCATTTATTAATGATAGGAATACAAAATGGTTTAACCACTTTGCAAAATAGTTTGTCAGTTTCTTATAAAATTAGGTATATCCTCACCATATGACTAAAAATATGTCCACAAATGTCCTGGCAGTTTTATCCATAATAGCCAAAAGCTGGAAACAACCCAAATATTCATCAGTGGGTGAACTGATAAACAAATGGTGGCATAGCTATACCATGCACTACTATTACAGCAGTATTACTAGTACTCACGACAACATAGATGAACCTCAAATGCATTATGCTGCTGACATAATCCAGGTTTAAAAACCTACATACTGTATGATCCCATTTATATGAAATTATAGAAAAGTCACAATTTTAATGAAGGAAAACAGATCCATGATTGCCAGAGGTCTGGGTGGGGAAGGAGGAGTGAATACAGAGGCGAACAGGAGGATTTTGGGGGTGAGTAAAATGTCGGTATCTTGGTGGTGATGGTGTTACATGACTGTATATATACATTTGTCAAAACTCATTTAACTACAAAATTAAAATGGGTGTATTTCACACTTTATAAATTACATCTCAATAAAGCTGACTTTAAAATTTAAAAAAAGATATGGAAAATAAGAAATGTTCAGGTGGTGTGTTTGAATGTGTTGAAAGGAGAGAGTAAGTTGTCTCCATCTTCTGTAATTCCCAACTCCCATCCCTCTAGTTTTAAAGAGGGAAGGGGTGGGAAATTAGGCCAATATAAATTTGCCAAAGCTAAAACTGAAGGTATTTGTTTTCTATACTTTTCTTGGTTTCCTCCTAATCACCACTCTCACCTCCTCTCCTCAGTACTCCTTCCTCATCACCCTTATCACTAAAAGCCCAGAAATTAAATGAAACACTTAAAAATTGCCCTGAAAGCTACCTTCCTGGTGCTGTCTAAAACAAATGTGACCTTCTCTTTGGGCCTTTAGAACACCACAAGCATTCTTACTTAGATTAAATCATGGGTCTCCCTGGTCTCCAGGCATGCCTAGACATGAACCATAAAGGGAATGAGATCCTTGGAGTTTCTCTAGTAACTGCAGGCCAAACCAACAGCAACCCTAAGAACAAGCATTCTGTTTTCTTAAACAGAACTAGGCCACACACATTTCTTCTCCTTATTTTACTTTTTTATTTGTACTGTCTGCAAAGTAAACTTCATTTAAAAAAACAATGGGCCTTGAAGGCTTTTACATGTGAGTTTTATTTTTTATTATCTTTGAAGATAACTTTTAAAAGCATAAATTTCAACTCATCTACTGCAACTATTGCCTTGGGTGGCAGCAATCCAGCTCAGGTAAGACATGTAAGATGCAACTAATAATCATGAAACATCAATCAAGAAGAGGTTTTAAATGTTGTATTGAGTAAAAATGACTAACAATTTGAAAGAACAGAACTTTTTTGTACCTATGTGCTAACCAAGACTTATAAGCCTGCATATTGTTAATGGAATGAAGGCTATTTCATTCCTGAGTTTATTTATATGTGTATATTTAACTATAAAAAAACAAAATTGGCTCTATAGTTAGCTCTAGAGAGCTCACAGGTTAATTAGCTCTGATCTCAGTGTGTTGCCTGATATGGTTTGGTATATTGTGCATTTAAAGGAGTGTGAGAGATTGATGCAATGTGTTGTACAACTTGTGCCTCTCCCAAAGATAAGATGAATACAAATTATAATTACTTATGACCTGCTGTTTGCAATTTAACTTTACAAGTTAATTTTTACAACTAACATTTCCTATACTGTACACTTTATACTTCTCTTTGGTATCTTATTTTCACTTTGGTGTTCACAGGACAAATGATGCATGTGAAAAAATGTGCTTCCATATTAAAAAATAATGCTACAACTCAAATTCATCCTTGAGAAGTTGTTCTGGTGTTTTAAACAGTGTGAGTTTGGAATTTGTATTGATCTCGATTACCTGCTTCTATCCATGTTACCAGTGTGGCATCTGTGAAACCACTTGCTGGGTTTAGGGCATCAGTCTGTACCTGGGAAGTTTTCATCTGCGGTAAACAATTTAAAACTAAGCTTTTGAGGTCAACAACGAGAGACCTATACCGGATGCATGAAGACCCTATTGAGGTCCAGGGGGCTACTTCTAATTGAGTTCCACAGTGTGTAATCAGAAAATATGCTTTATCCTCTCCTGATCCCTACACTGAAGGAAAAGAGGGGAAGGAGTAACTAGAGGAAAGAATTATTAGTAGAGGTGTCCCAGAAATCTTCTGAAACTGTCCTCTGTGCCAAATCTACTCCAAATACACACAGAAACACATCTGTATCATCACATAAGAAAATGTGACAGGTCACAAGATGCTGTTCCGTTAGCCTCCACAGCCCTCTCCCTGAATATCCAAATTTAGTCTTGCTAGGACTTAACTGTCAACTCCTCCTTGAACCTTCACCGACCAGATACATTTCTCATGGATGCCTTACCCTACCCCTTTCTATTTCTACCTGGTTTAGTAATTTATTATATACTGTCTTGAATGGTAAATAATGTGTGTTCACTTGGTGTTAAGACCAAGATTGCAAGTACATATGGAGGGTAAAATGAATGACCTTAGGGGCTGAACATAAATATGTGAACATATTTAAATAAATACGTATTGAGAGTAGGTACAGTTTTCCCTAAGGCTGACTTTAAAAGTACAAAATTGTGGCCCTGACCTCAAAAGGGCCTCACTATGATCTGCCCGCAAAGCTGGCTGACTCGCAGCTGGAGGAGAAGATCCCGCCTGCCCCCCAGGGCACGGCGCTCCAGGGCCCCGAGGAGCCCAAAGGGGAAGACGAGGTGACCCGCTGGCCACACGCGCCCCAGGCGCCCCAGGCCCATCTCCACCTGGGAATTTTGAGCCTACAGTTTGGCACCTGGCAAGCCGCTTTCCCCGCTGGGGATGGACATGAAATTTGGGTGGGCTTGTGGGGCTTCCTGAGAAGGGGAGAAGCTCTTTGTCCCTTCTGCCATAACTGGAAGCAAAGCCTCTCAAGAATCTACGCCTCGCCCTCCGGGGCTTATTCCTGCAGGGGCCCCCCAGCAGCCCCCTCTCCTCACCCCCTCCTCCCGCCCCTCCTCTCCTCCCTGCGGGGTTCCAAGGGCGGTTGGTGACCCGCCACGGCCGCGGGGCGCGCGGGCGGGAGAGGGCAGGCCCGGGTTTGGGCTGGGAGCCGGACAGAAGTTTTCCGGGACGGGCCGGAGCGGGAGGGAAGGAGGTGGGAGCGGGCCCGGGAAAGCGAATGGCCCGGGAAAGGGCCGGGACGTGAGGGGGAGCACGGGGGCGGGGGCCGGGCCCCGGGGCTGCAGGTCCCCCCTGGGGCGCTGCCCGCGGGCTGGGCCACGCCAGGCGTGCGAATCGAGTCCAGCAGGGGCCAGAGAAGTTGTCCAGAGTCCGGGGGTGGGGGGGGGCCGGGCGTCCCCGTCCCCTCGGGCCTCTTGCGCTCAGGCACTGCCGGGCGGAAGCCTGGGCGAAATGTGGGACCGAGGCAGGCCCCGGGTTCGCGTCCGCTCCTCTCGGGGACACCGCGTTGGCCCTGCGGACCATCCCAGAGCAGCAGCCCGCGGGCGTTCGGTGCTCGGTTTGTAGGCAGTGTAATTAGCTGATTGTACTCTGGTGCCGACAATCACTAACTCCACTGCCATCAAAACAAGGCACAGCATCACCCGCCGCCCCAGCCAACGGCCGCCCCAGGCCCCGGGCGTTCGGGAGGAGGAAGCCGTGTTTCGAGATTTTCAGTATCAGCATTTATTCCGCGTACTGGCTCTCGCTGAGCACGCTGTCAGCACGCGAGTGAACTGCACACACTGGCGGCGGCTGTTAACTATCTCTAGGAGTGAAAGCAAGATTATGCAATCCCATGTAAAGAAAGCGAAATCTGTGGAGTTAATGGCTTTCGTAATAAAATAATATTTAAACTGCTGGTAAGAGCCCCGTAACGTTTAATGCTGTGTGTTGTGACTCATTGTGCCTATTTTTCATTATTTAGTAGGGTATTCACAACCTCTCAGCTAAAGTGAGCTACAATTGAACCGATTATTTGCCTAACACAATGTATAGGGCCCCAATTTGAGACAGCTGTTTGTGGGGAAAAGTAAAACTTTTTCTGTTAGTCTCGTTACTAGGCAGTGTAGTTAGCTGATTGCTGTTAGTACCAATCACTAACCACACGGCCAGGTAAAAAGACCTGGGAATTCACCCAAATGAGCTGCCTGTGCAAGATGACTGTGTTTGGGGGAGAACGGGTGGATTGAACTCTGCTAATATTGCCCATTGCCTGTCAATAACTCAGCCAAGAAAGAAATATTTTAGCTGCTAAATATATAACATATATGTATATCTTTGTATATAATATTTTATTTTCCTTCAGGCTCAGATATATTGGAGAATAGGATTTTTTTCCTTAACTGACCTATGTCATTGTATAGATTTGTGATTATCAACTTTTGAAGTATCTTTCTGTAAGACTGTATTAATACTTTGAAAGAATAAAGTGCTATAAGGTCATTAATTGTGGTTGTTACCATGTGTCCATTTCCTTTCCTAAATTGGCTTTATGATGTCCATCTGAATTCCTGCTGCAGTAATTACAACTTTCCTGTTGCTGAAATGCTTAAATTATTCCTAGATTAACAAAATTTAAGCTATTCACATGCCCTTGTTAATATTTTTATAAGAATACATTTAAAAAATTCATAAATTTATTTTTTATGAAGGGACTGAGTCCACTTGTCAGATATATCCTTTCTTTCGAGTAACCATTTACAACTGTTGATTGAAGTCTAGTCAGCTTTTAGTGGTACTGATTAGTAATTGCAGTTTATTTAGTGAATTTAGTGTAACTGCCTTAGTAAATGCAGTTACAGTGATGTCCAGCTTCTGTTGTAAAATGTACCTTGAAGGATTCAGGAGGGAAAAATGTGTAACAAACTAGGAATGTGTCAGGCCCAATTCAGGCCTCTAGCTCCCATAAACTAGGATATTAGCTGACTTTCTGAATTCTCCAACAAATGCAGGCCCAGAACTTCCAAATGGTGCTGAGCTACAGCAGTCTGGTGTGGAACCGGTTATTGGGGCGGTGGGGCTAAGGAACTTAAAGCTTTAGATATATTTGTGGGGAAGGAAGCTGGGTGGGCAGGTAGAGGACTGACTGGGGACATAAGAGATTAAAGTGCCCCCCACCTTCTTCACTGACCCCAACAGGACGAGACACACCCCAAAGTTGATGTTTTGACTTCTATCTCGACTCCAAGACTTGGATCCATCCGGAAGCCTGTGATCACTGCAGAAGTGGGCTTCAGATGCCCCACAAGCGTGCACTGGACCCCAACTACCCAGGAAAAGAAGAGCTTCCGTCAGTAGTTGGTGTCAATTTGGTGGTTCTCTGAGGGACAGAGCTAGGAGAGGGAAAGGGCAGCTGGAGAAGCGTCCTAAGTTGCCATGGACACGAGGCTCAGCAGCAATCCTAGCAGCTCTAGGAAGTCCTGTGCAATCTGCCACCAGGGATTACTGGTGTTCGCCGGCTCTTCAGAACGGAATGCCAACTTGGCTAAGCAGTTCTGGATGGCGGCATCAATGTATCCTCATCAAGAATCTCAGCTGGTGCTGCTCAGAGGCAGCAGTCAGCGTCTGCCTGTGGCACGGTCCTTTAGGAGCAGCGTGCCTGGTGAGTAGCTGCCTCCAGTCAACGATTCCTACTTCCATCATAACCAACCTGAGAAATAATAGAGCCTCTTTCAGGAGAATTGCCGAACTTAATTCTAAGATAGTCTTTCATTTCCCGTGTCTGAAACCCTGTACAAAACAGTTACTGAATCTTCCGGGCAATGCTTCCACCCAAAGAGGATGCGTGTTCTTTTTGTCACATCTAAATGTACATTGTAAAAGTATCCCTTAGGTTATGGCATCTGTTTGGCTACACCATGTAGAATAATCTGTGGAAATGTTACATGTTGGCTGAAAAGATATGAAGGTTGGTTGTTTACATAATAAAATGCAAACATGAAAACCCTTAAGAAAGTTGAAGGCAGTCTCATTAGGAACCCAAGTTCCCTGACCTGTAAGACCTTAGTTAGACATTAGATGTGGAAATTTATTTTGTTATTATGAAAATTATGTGATTTTTATACATATTAAAGGCTTAAATACCTTTAATGCTGTGGTTCTTCCAATAATTTCTTCTTTTTTCTATTTTTTTTAGAGAAAAGTTACTTCCAGCCTTATCCCCTTGAAAAAACCAGTAAGTATCAAATTTATACCTTTCAACATCCTGGTTCCTACATTCTTCAGCAAATAGGTAATAAGTATAAGGATGCAACTTTACAGTTTAGCATAACTTTCTGAATTGGATACCGGATCCTGCCTCAGGTACCAACATATTTATCCAGAGAAAAATGTCTAAAGCCCTAAAATATGTTAAATGGGAATCTCTGATAGCTGCACATGTGTTCTCTTTTGAGACCTTTTCTTGTCTCTAGACTAGGCTTACTACATTCTACACAGATCAGAGGTTCCCTGCAGCCATGGCTATCTGATTCAGTCTCCAACTATTTATAAATCTGGTTTATAAGGTTTCGAGACAGCTGTTCTGTTAGCCTTCCTATTCTACTTACTACCTTTTAACCCTTATCCAATTTTATGTCAACATTATTGTAAACTCATGATAAAATTATTTCAGTTCATATTTGACTTTGTTTCCTTTAGAGAGCACCAATGTCATTGCTGAAACCCCAACAATTCAGGAATCTGAAGAGAAAAAAAAGTATCTCCAAAAGGTAGGCAACTAATTCAAAAGGTCATCTGAGTTTCATTAAAATTTCACTCTTTTCTAAATAATCCCAGTTATTCTTTTTTTAATACAAGTATATAAAAACTTCCTACCCCTGGTGTGTCAGCTTGAACAGTAAGTAAATCCTTATTAGAATTTTAATTGAAGATTAAGAAATCCTATTGACACTGACTAATCTCAGTCTCTGGAAAAGGCCAAAGATGTACAGGAGCAATAGAACCAGAGGGAAATGAGGAAAGATGGATTTACTACTTTCATCCAGTAAGGCTGCAGACCATATACACTATTCTAAGAACAGAAATATTATGAAAACTGGAAAAATCAAATAGGTCAAATTTGAATACCTTCATAGGTCAAAATTAAATGACCAGGCAAATGAATCTGTTTGGAAGAACATTTTGACTAAAAGCTAAAATTAAACACACTGGTGTTTTCAGATCAACTGAACACATTATTTTTTGACAACGTCCCTTGTTTGCTTTTCATGATGCAAGCACAGCCTTTAACTCAGCAATTAATACAGCGACTTACAGAAACATTCTGTTTGGTTAATGGATAAATTCCATTCCTGTGACTGTTTCTGCACTATTAAAAGCAAACAGAGAGGATTCGTTTTGGCCTGTGTCTTTAATCATTGGCTATATTGGCAAACACAGAAAGACTTATCGGGAATTCTACATAAATTACAGAACAATGCACTTGAGTTTGCTTATCACATTAATTCATTCTGTAGACAATTGGTGATTCCTCCAAACAAATTCAGTGATTAGAAATAGTCCAGTCAGCATTTTCTTCTCTCTTGAGGATATTAGGTATTGTATATTTATACCAGGACTTAAATGGAGGGAGGAGCCTAATTTTCAGTGATATAAAAATCATTAAAAGTCAACTTCTTCAACACTTTTTAATTTGTTAAAGGGATTAGAAATAAAAGGTTATAGACAAATTATTACCAATTTTTATCATCTTTTCTCAAACAAGACAATATGGCATGAGTTACAGATTGGATGTTCTACTAATGTTCTATTATGTTAGTAATCTTAGAACTGGTTTCCTGCCTCAGGTTCTTCCATTATTAGTTACTTTCTTCCACAGATATTTTTTGAGAACCTGCTGTGTGCTAAGTGCTGCAGTAAATGCTGGGGATGCAAAGATAAAATGGTCCCTAATCTCAAGGAGTTTACAGTCTGGGGTGGGAGACATTCAATTAAAGCCAAAAATTATGATTCATTTTATTATGATAGACGTATGAACATAATACTATGGGGACAGACTGAAGGACACCAGAATCAAACTTAGGGAATCAAGAAATCTTCCCAAAGGAGCTGAGTTTCAAATAGAGTTGGCCAAAGAATATGGAAACCAGTGTTCCTTACCATACTAGTTACTGTCCTAGAACCCTAAATCCAATTATGCTGCTCTCTTATGACATTAATTAGTCTGCTAGGGCTGCTGTTAGAAAATACACAGAGTAGGTTTAAACAACAGAATTTTATTTTCTTACAGTTCTGGAGGCTGGAAATTTGAGATCAAAGTGCCATTAGAGTTAGTTTCTGATGAAGCCTCTCTTCTCAGCTTGCAGATAGCCACCTGCTGACTGTCCTCATATGGCAGAGGCAGAGAACTCTAGTGTCTCCTCATAAGGACACTAATCCTACTGTATTAGGGCCCCACCTTTATGACCTCACTTAGCCTTTATTACCTCTCTAAAGACCTTGTCTCCAAATGCAGTTACCCTGAGGTTTAGGGTTTCAACACAGGAGCTGCGGTGCAGGGATGTGACACAATTCAGTCCATCCACCTTTCTTTTTTTCCCATGGCTCTTCATTTCTGGAGGATCAAGACCAAACACCTCAGCATGCTATTCAAGTTCCTTTCCAATGTGACCATAACCTGACTTCTGCCACTCTCCTCCTTTCCCTATACACCCCCCCACCCCCAGTGCAGCCTACTCTATACAACTCGTTCTCAACCACTAAGCTAGGGCACACGTGAACCCTTCCCATTATGTGCAATTGAAATGAATGGATAAAATATATTTTTTCTAAACCTAAATACATATATTATTTTGTGATGTATGCCAAATTGTACATTAATTCTGTTTGTTGAGAGTAAAAGAGGCCTAACAGAACAGCAAGCCAGCAGGGAAGAAAGAGAATGTTACTGAAACTGTACCTTGTGAGTATATAGGAGAGCTCAGTCAGTACTGCACAGTAGGGTTTTATTCAAACAATGCCATGGTGCAAAAGATAACCAAGAGAATCCTGCAATAACTGAATGCTTTATAGATATCCTCAGATATTATTGTAACATAGTATTCATAACAGCCAATTTAGTGCATACCATGTGCCATATATATATATCAAGCAATTTAAATATATCAACTCATATTCTCTTTAAAATAGCCTCATGATGATTATCTACTATCTAATCAAACAACGCTTAAAAGTCGGTAAGTAGTAGAGCCTACATTCAAAGCCTATATTCTAAGTCCAAAGCTTATGAGATTCATTGCATGGTAATGATTGCTGGCCATGGCATTGTTCAGGTATGCTGTCAAATATTCTAAAATTCAGAACTGTAATATATATAAAGCAAGCATGAGATTACCTGTTTCCAGCCCTGTGGGACCATAAGCTGTTTCTTTGACCTACAATGCACTTATTTGTATGTCTCTACCTGGCATGCTTTTCCCCATTTACCTTCAAGGCCTAGCCCAAATGCCAACTTCTCTGTGAAGCTTTCCAGGAATGACCTAGACACTAGCAGAATGAACAGCTTCCTTCTTTGTGCTCCTATAGCAAGGCACTTACACCTCTCGTATAGTATTTATCATGGTTTTTGTTCTGTGTTGTACGTAATTGTGTATGTTTCTGTCTTTCCTGCTAGATTATAGGCACCATAGTGTAGTGGACCTTGGAGACAAAGTTTAGAAGTCTAACTCTGTCACTTATTATTTGTGACCTTGAACAATCCATCTACCCCTGTGAAACTAGCTTCCTTAGATATAAAAGAAGAAATGATAAAAATAACCAGCTCACAGAGTTCATATATGTGAAACATCTGGCCATAGTTTGCCCTTAACAAATGTTAATTCTTTTCCTCTATGAGAGCAGAGGTAATTTCTTATTTGCTTAACCCTACTGCCTTTCCAGTTATTGAAACTCAGTAAATATTTGTTGGTTGAATAAATAAATGCATGATTGAATTAATTAATGAGTGAACATATGCTCTGCAGTGATATTTCCATTTTGTTTAGCCTTTTCTGTATATATCCATCTGGAAAATTTTTCTAGGCTGGTAATTTTTGCAAGAATACTCCCTAAAACTAATTTGTTTGCAGGTCTGCTTTAGGACCATTTTAGCACATCACTTCTCTTCTCCATTTTGTATTTATCTTACGGGACTATATATGATGAGAGGAAATGTGACTCCCTGTAAATATTAAAATATAGAATCATTTCTCTTTTTCTAAATCTATAGTAGTTTATCTGCATTGCCTTCACCACCATTAAAGAATTTTTAGCTTCATAGGAAAAACTAAATGGGAGTGGGAGTTTCTTTTTAACCAGTAAAATATTTACAATGGTCTTTTAAGAGAATCTTATACATGTTTTGAACATATACATTGATAAGTAAATTCCTGGTTATAATTTTTATTTTAAAATGGGAAAAAATACTTCCCATCAATTCACTTAAATGTTTTCTCTTCCCCTTTCTCTTTAAAATTAATGAAAATCTAAAAATTTATTTTCCATCTCTCCTAAAAGTACCTTATGCTTTTCCCTCCAACTGACAAGTGATTTTTCAGTTGTTGAACTTCTTAAAAACTTTAGTGTTATCCTCCATTTTGGAATATTTTCCAGGCATACATTATAAGTGCTTTGATCAGTGGATAAAATGCTATTAATCACAACTACTATTTCTGTGATGGATATCCATGGCAGAAAATAAAAAACAATTGAGTCTGTCAAGATTAAATGGCTTCCTCTGTCCATAAAGGAAAGCATATAGTAGTATACTGAACCATTATTCTTCCTTTGAGAGTTTTAAAGTAGTTTGAAAATATAATAAATGAATACTCAGGTAATTCTTTGAAACCATAAAACTACTTTGCTTTTTAGTTTCACCACCTTTAAGAAAGCTCTTTAGCTGATTATCTCTTTATGAAAAGAATTATAAATAATTCATTTGCTGAAAGAAGAGATCAGAGCAGTATTTTAAAGTATATAAAATATACGTGCATGACATATTGGGGAATGTCCATCTAGAAACAAAATTTAAAATTGAGTGAATATGAACTGAAGATTTTTAGAAGGAAATTATTCAATCTATAGAACATCCCAGATATACTTCTTGGGAATGAGATTTTCATCTGTCCTATCACACAACCTATATAACCAATAGTAACCATAGTGTAAAGTCTTAAAATAAGAGCTATGCTCTTTAGGTAATTATTGGTTTCCATTAAAGTATGTCTAAGAGAACTAAGAAAAAGTATGTAACAGAACCAAGAAAAAATTTCTCTTCACAACAGATAAATTCACATTTTATTGAAATCTAGATTTAGAAAAATTGTATTGACTCTCTCTTATGTAATGACTGATATGTTTTTCTCATTTTAGTAAGCTTGTATTTTTTAAATGAAAATTATGAATGTCAGAGCTGGGAGTTGAGCCAGGAACAAGCAATTTCCAAGAGGTTTGGAAAAGTGCTTAGATATGCATCTTTTTCCTGCAAGTCAGCATTCCCCCTTCTCCCAATTAATAATCCTCTAACATTTTCCACCCACTCCCATACATTACTGCTGTTCAGTTTACCTTACAAAATCAGATTAGTGCTAGAAAATGCCTTTTCACTGGTTATTTAGGCTATCTTTTGAAGTGTATAGTAAATCATTTAAGGTTCAACAGTTTTGTATCTTATCATTATAGTAGGTATAAATTTAAAATCTACATGGCAGATTTTAATTAGTAGGCACAGGGA